TCCCTGGGTGGGACCGGAGTATGCGACAGAGGCCCCGGGGAGGCCTCCAGGGACAGGGCTTTGCAGCTGGTGGCACAGTTGACTTCTTTCCCAACACTCATAAAGCTTCCTTCTGGCAAAAATCGATTTCAGAGAAAGCTATTATACCAGTTTCCTCCTACCTTCAGAGCTGAAATACTTATATCCTCCCGGGATAGAAGATGCTAGTAGAAAATGTCACATTTTTTTCCTGAACGTAGGAAAAAAATGTTTTATGTGTTTAATTTTTCTAAAAGGGCTTACGTTTCTAATTTCCTTTAAAAGAAAACTGGTTTTCATTGGGATTATCCCCAGGGCCAAATCCAGGTATACAGAAAACAGAGAGCGATGTGTCTATGCAGACGAGGTGTCTATGCAGACGAGGTCACCGATTCTCAGGGGTGTGTCCCTTTTTAATTTTTCAGGAAAATTGAGGGTTTGCTCATTTTTGCAGTGAAAAGAACTAACAGGAGTGAAAGGGCAGGGGAGAGCAGAGTCAGAGTCCTCTTTCAGAGAGAATATCGCCTCTTTACCAGAGTCCCCATCTTCTCCAGTCTTTTATGAGATTTTCCAGTCTTTTATGAGGTGGTTGTGGTTGCCATGACAAAAATAGCAGCTGCCATCTGTGTGCCAGCCGAGCTGCGGTATTTACTTTTCTGTATCTCTTACTCCACTAGGCAGCCTCTGGAGGCACAACCTCCAGTCTGTGTGGGACAGTGGACTCAGAGGGGCAGCGCAACTTTCCTCAGGCCACCCCGATAGCAGTGGCAGAGACAGGATTCAGCCCAAGGTTTTCTGACCAGAGGCTCTTGCTCTGAACTGCTGAGCTGCAGTTTCCACCTTCAGTGTACGGTTTGATGTCCTGGCTTTTATACTTGCCAGGGCTGGCCAGGGACTTTGCCACACAGGTACGTAGTGTGCCTGGTTGTCGTTTGAATGGCTGCGGTCTGTTGCATAATCTTGAGTTGCTGTGGTTTACTCAGCCGATCCGCCCATTTGGTTGGTTTCCAGTTTGTCAACAGTATGGGCAGCACAGGTGTAAAGATCTTTGTGTCAATAAGGGTGGATGATTGAGTTTTTTAGGTGTTTCAGGGTAGTCCTCTAAGTAGTAATATTGAGCTAAACAGTTGTAGTTTTAGGGTTTTCTAGAAAGTCTGTGCCATTCATTTTCCCAGGCAGTGATTGATCAGTGTCTTCAGCTGGAGCTGAAGAGGCGCTTCAGAGTGCTAAAAGGGGGCTGATGGATGTTGCAATGCAGAATGCATGGTACTAACGTGCAGGCTGGGGCAAGTGAGGGCGCTGGCAGTCCTGGCCGGGGCAGAGTCTGGTGCGCCTTCTCCCCTATAGCGTAGGGCACAGCAAGGTTGGGCTTGAGGGCAGCCGGTAGGGGAGGAACAGGAGGACAGATGGTTGCCCCAGGTCAAGGCCTCCTCCCTGCTTTCCCCAAGTCTGTGACTGCAGAGCTGCCTCCTGGCTAGGGCCCCTTCCCCGGCTTCCCTTTCCCCGCAGCTTCTACCTGGCCCACAGGGCCTGTCGCTACTGCCCACCTGCCACCAGGGGGAGCCGAGCGGAGGCTGGAGGGAAGGACACCGGCAGGAATGGCTCAGGAGAGCAGGACACCCAACCTAAGCCCCAGCCTCCACCAGGTCCTTCGATCTCTCTTCCCATGATTGTGAGTGGCTCAGTGACCACTCATTCCGCAGAAGAGAAAGGACACAAAGTACAAGTTCATAGCCCATTGCCTTCCACAAACCGGGCGCTCTGGTCACTGTTAAGAACACAGAGACCATTTCCCCACGGTCCTTAACCCTGAGGTGCTCTCCGCTAGATGAACAAAGAAGGAGAGGGCATGACAGGGGGCGATGAGGCCTGGACAAGTAGTAATGGGAACGTTCAGGACTGAGTCTCCTGGCAGTGTCTTGAGAGCCCAGGGCAATCTTTTTATGACTTTGGCATTGCCTCCCAGCCTCAGTTACTCCATTAAGTGGAAGACTGGCTCCAATGGGCTTCAGTCTCCTATTGCCCCCGTCTTCTCTCCTCACCCCCACCACACTGCCACATGGAGCTCGTGGCATTGTGCATCCAGCCTTTTTCCTCTCTTTGGTCCTATATCTTCTGTGACCTTTGTTACTATTACGTGCTGATGACGCCTACATCTGGATGTTCATCCCCTCACCTTGTCTCTCTCTGAGTTTGTGATTCAATACAATTTCTTAAATCTGAGATATAGCACAATAATCATGAGCTAAGAAAATTCCCCCATCCCATCTATCCAGCAACCCAGGGAAGCAGACAGTGGCAATCCATTTTATGGATGAGTGAGACTGAGTTCAAGAGATACTGTGACTTTCCCAAGGCCCTGAAGTTGCCGAGTGACAGAGCCAGAGATAGAGCCAGGACTTGAAAACCTGCATCTGCTGGGCCCCAGTGCCCACACTCAACCATCATGCTGCGTTTCCCAGACTGCATCCACCCCCCGTGAGAGACACTTCCACTTGGATCTTCCACAGACACCTCCATTTCAACATACCTCAACTGGCCCCATCACTTCTCTACTACCTATGACAGTCTGACTTTTCCTGTCTTCTCCACTGCAATAAATGGCACCATCAACACACGTGACCTCTGGGAGTCTTTCTAGATCCTTCCTCACCTTTCCTCTCCAACACCCAATGTCCCACCATGTCCTGCTGATTTATTTTTTCTTTTGCCCACCCCCCTGTTTCCCTCAAAGGCCGTTGTCTTGTCTTAGGGCCCTGCAGTAGTGTACTGCTCAGTCTCCCTGCCCTGAGTCTGTGCGCCCAGGTCTGCTACCCACTGGCCAGGCCGCTCTTCCTCCATCACACATCTGCTCTCATCACTGTCCTGCTCGGGCCTTCCACTAGAGGTGCTATGTGGCTCACCACCCATGGGCCGATATCTACACAAAAGACGGATTCTCCTTGGTGCACTGAGTATTCTTAAACGTTTTGAATTTGCCAACACTTAAAAAGCAGGCAATTCTGCATGAAAGTTTATTCTTCTGCCTTCTCTTGTAAAAGTGGAAAACAAACAACTGGCAGCTCTGGGCCCAGGTCTCTACAGGGCAATGAATGACTGGATGGAGCTGAGTTGTAGTTGCTTTTGAGAAGGGGCGTGGGCTTTCCAGGGGCCAATACCCGGCTCTTAGGCCCTGGCCACTCCCCTGCTCCTAGTTACCTGCCTGCGACGTATGTTTGGTCTCTTGAACCTGTAGTATTGGAGGAGGCCCAAAGTCCTCAGCATGGTGCCTAAGTCACTGTGCCCTGGCATAGAACAGGAGTGTCCTGCCAGTCTCTGAATCTTATTCATACTCAGCAATCCATCATGCTCTCTCTCATGTCCCCCTCGAACTCCAGGTTCTCTGGGTAGTGTTGTTCCCACACATGTTTACCTTCATGCCAGCTGCTGCTCTGGAATTCCTAGGTTCCTCCCTAAGTCTCCTTGGCCCTTCAGAGCTTTGCTTCATGCGCCTCCACTGCAGAGCTCCTCCTGCTCCCCGCTCCCTTCCCCAAGCTGGTAACTGCCCTGTAATCCCATAATGTGGTATAGAAATGTCGGTCTTCGCACCAGTCTCGTGAGGTTTTGCTGATTTGTCTGGCTTGTCGGCCTCCCCTGCCGGCTGTGAGTCTGAGGCTGCAGAGAGCCTAGCTTCTTTATTTCCCTAGCCCCGAAGCATGGCACAGGGATCAGAGGCCTAATAATGATGAATGGATGAGTCGGTGAAAGACTGAGTTAAGGAAAAACCCTCCCAGAACATGATGTTGCCACCTACCTGCTTGTTGTAGACGGTTCTCAAGATCCTTTAGGGACCCCTCGCCTGAGTCCCATTCACAGTGATACCCATGACACCCAACACCGCTCCTAGTCTGCCAGCAATAAATGCACTTGTGCCAGCTGGAACTGGCACTTCCTGAGGCAGGTAGAAGGAGCAGGGGCCATTGTTGCTTTGTGGGGAGGGGGTCCTTTTGTTGTTGGGGAGCGGTACAAGCTTTAGCTATGTGAACAATGCTGATGAGTAAGGGGCACTTATGTCATGCCCCTACTGAGTGCTGTCATGGTACTTTCCTTCACTCATGACCAGCTAAGAAGCAGGCAGAACTATAATTCCATTTTACAGACGAGTAAACCGAGATCCAGATGTTCCAACATTTCCAGGCTCATACAAGCAGGACATGTTCGGACACAAATTTGAACCAGATCTGTGTGATGTCAGAGTTAACATTCTCCACTACCATCCCTTACTTCCATATTCCTCAGAGGCGTTTGCCTTTAGAAAAAGTTGGAAATGATGAAAACGAATGTGGGAGTTATGGGTATACAGAAATACATAGATACTACCATAGATATGCATCCAGTCAGATCCCAGTTATGAATTTAAGAAGACACAGGGGAGAGGGAGGAGAAGGTAGCGAACCAAGGGATGGGGGCGTTTGCATGGGAGCTTTGGCACAGGGTGAGTATCGCGAGCGCATCTGCAGAGGTGTACCTCAAACATATGGTAATGTGCATAACTGGCAAATTAATAAAAATTTGAGAAAATGTAAATGTTAAAGAAAGGAAAGACAGTAGCTCCTGAGACAGAGAAAATGGGACCGAGGAGACACAGCATGCACTAGCTGTGCTTCCCTTCGAGTAGTGGCGTGCCAGGCATGTCTCTTCCTTTTCCTTGCTTCTGCTTTTCACATTTTCTAAATCACCTTTAATGAGCATGTATTTCTTTTCTAATCAAACAGATCCCTTTTTAATGTCCCCAGTGAGTCTGTGGCAGAATAGAGGCCAGAAGTGCTGACTGAGTCTCTAGCCAGTTAACCAGCGGGCCCTGTGTTGAGGCTCTGTCGCCGGCACCAAAGGGATGTAGGCAGCAGGTGGCCCTGTGGCCTAGGCACCTGTACCCTCTTGGGACCGAGGAGAGGTGGGTTACCCAAGGGGTCACAAGCTCACCTTCTCCTTTCTTCCTGCAGGTGCTTACACCCCAGAGCCTCTCCGCAGTTTCCAGTGGGCCCTGCTCTCGACTGGCCTCATGTTCTTTTACCACTTCAGCATCTTGCAGATCCTGGGCCTGGTAAGTTTGGTTCTATTCCCCTCTGTTTGGAGCTCTCCATAAATCTCGATAATCCTGGTTGGCGCTGGTGTATCGTTTTGTTTTGAAAATACAAGATGCCAAAGGCCAGGATGTCTGGTTGTTGTGTCTGGGTTGATGATTTATGGTCCATAGCCTTGGCCTCTCCAAAGAGTTTTGGAATCCTTCAGTAATGACTGTTTCTTTCATCTCTGGGGGAGCAAGGGTGCCCTTCCCCCATGGCCAGTTGGCTCGGACATTGGTTTGCTGTGGTCCCCACGGGGAGGTAGGACCCTACCCCGGCCTTGGGCCTGGGAGAAGCTTCTGAGCTCAGGTTCATTCTGGGCCTGTTTCCCGGCCCTGAGCTTTGTGACCAGTATGGTATTGGGGATTCATGGAATTCTGGGGTGTTCAGAGCTGCCTGGAGAGCAGAGGTTGGCTGGACTCAGTATTTGCCCAAGATTGCCGAGTGTGTGGGTGTTTATTGTTGGCAGTGTCTAAAAAAGCTTGGGCTGTGGTTGGGGTCGTCAGGAAGCAAAGGTCCGCCACTGCTCCGAGTCACCTCACCTATTTGCCATGAGACAAAGTCCCCAAGCTCCCTAGAGGTGGTGAGAACTCGTTTTGTATGTGAATAGGCGCGAAGGGTTCTGGAAGGCGGGTCTGTGGCCGTCCTTGGGGCGGGAGTGGCATGTCCGGTTTCGTGTCGCAGCAGCGTGAATGTAGCCTTAGCCATGCGCAGCCTGGTGTGACCAAGCAGGATGAAGGCATGTAACTGATGTCACTAGCACCTGTGTAGAGACAGTCACTTTCTCTTCCTGCCCCCGGCATGCTGCTGTGCTCTGGTTTGGCTGGGGAGTAATTTAGTTCCTTGCCAATGGCGTGAATGGCTCCTGTGCTCTAAGAGGAAGCCGTGTGACCTCCTCACCCTTATCCTCACTGCTCTCCACTGGGATCCTTTGATTCCAGGGCAACTGTTATCCTCATGTCACACCATACATACCATGCTCAGCCTACCGCCGGGCCTGGTTGTGGCCACACCTCCCATAAGGAAGCTGTGCTCACCCATTCATCGCCATGACGCCCTCCCATCCTCCATGAGTCCATTCAGGTGCCACTTCCCTCATGAAATCTTCTCTGCGGACTCAACCCCATTCTCTCCAGCCCTCAGATCTCCTCATGGTGGGGAAGACCTGGGGAGCACCATTCAGTCTGAAGTCAGATATAGTTAGACTGATCAGTAGTCTGACTTGATTGGTCACCAGTTATAGAGGCAGGGAATAGGCCACTGGCCACTCTTTTAGCCCATAACACCGCTCCAAGAACTAGGCACATACTCCACGTTTAGGAATGAAGATGGGCTTTGAGCCCCCTCAGAAGACAAGACTGAGCAAACGCCAACGGCCTTCCCACTGGATGACTGCCCCACCCCCACCACCGTATCACTTCAGAAGGCACTAACCTCGGCCTGCTCAGGAAACCTCGGGGAGAAAAATCCCTTGATGAACAGGTGGGGATTTGCCAATCCCTCCTTGTCTAGTTCCCGTTAGGTAGAGACGGCTGAACTGGCAGAAGCCAGAGAAAGCCCAAGGATGGTGAACGCTCACTCTACCTCCCTTGTCCCTGCAGGTCACCGAAGTGAATTTGAACAACATGCTGTGTCCGGCCATCTCAGACCCATTCTACGGCCCCTGGTATCGCATCTGGGCCTCGGGACACCAGACTCTCATGACCATGACCCACGGGAAGCTGGTCATCCTGTTCTCATACATGGCTGGGCCCTTGTGTAAATATCTGCTAGATTTGCTCCGGCTTCCAGCCAAGAAAATAGACTGAAGGTGCTTGTTTTTTTTTTTTTTTTCTCCCTGAGGAAACAAGTCCTGACTTGACTTGGAGGAACACCCAGTTCTTGATGAAATCATGGGAGAGGGCAATAGGATATTTGGTGTATTTCTTCTTTCCTTCTCTCTGTCTCTTCCTTCAACTATTCTTCTTTCCCTAGCTCTTCTCCCAGGACATCTCCTTGAGCCTGGGGTGCAGTTCTGAGGGCTAGATTTTTCCTCCTCCCCTTTGTCTCCTTCTCTCTGTTCCCAGTGGCCTTACCTGGGGAGATGGTAGTCAGTGTCTCTTACATTCTGCTTGCTGGTGCTTTCACAACAGCTGGTTGAGGAGGAAGGGACAACAGTCATTCTTTTGGCATCGATGCAATACGATTGGGTTGTATTTCATCCTCCACTGCCAGGGACCTCCAGGCTCATGCTGGGGTCCCCTTTTGTCTCCAGCCCAGCCCCCAATTTAAGGGGCCTGAGGCCTTGTTTCTATACCAGCAGCAAGTGGAAGGCCAAGGGATTTCCTAGCTCATGGCCAAAATAGAACTGGCCAGATTCTTCCCACTGGTGTCCCATGACTCAAAGCAAGCGGCCAAGCAGCCACTCCCTCCAGGATGCTGCCTGGGGAAGGAGGTGGGGGCATTCCCTGCCCAAGGCTGCATTCTCCTCAGGGGGTGGGAGAGCAGTTACCATGGCAAATCCAAAGGGAACCAAGTTCAAATGTGCACAATTAATACTGGGCAGGAACCCGGGTAGATGCTGCCTGTGCCAGCTGAGAACTGACACATATCCTGATCAGGATGAGTGTAGAAATTAATCAACAGAAGTGGTAACTTGACAAACTATAATTGGAATCATATGTTCCATTTTGGTTTCATGTCAATGATAGATGTCACTTCAGTCGGGAGTAACCTTTCAAAGTTCTCTCTCAAACGGCAGCTGCAAGGAATGGACTTAGGGTTGCTGGCTGTATTGTTTTGTTTTGTTTTGGTTTGGTTTGGTTTGGTTTCTGGTTGTTTTTTCTTTCCTTTGATTTGTAGACATGTTTAGTTTTGGATGCTTGAGTTTGTACAATCCTTGTTATCGAAGCCTGATTCCAGAGCAGCTCCTGAGAGCCACTTCATCCACAGTTGATCTGTCTGCAGCCTAGGTTCAGGCAGATGTAGCCTGCCAGTATTGTTTTCCTTCAGGCGGGCTGTGGTCTCTGTGGGCAGGCTCAGTGCTGATGAGCTCAGCCGCCCTCCCTCCACCCCCCAAAGACCATGTCTAGATTAAAAAAGGCAGGCACCGAGGTAGCAGTTCTCCATGGGTACGGATTCGAGCGCTGTGCCTGGAAGACTTGAGGAGGGGAGTTTAGTCACATGCAGGCCTCAGCCGTGTGGCAGGCCAAGACATCTGCTGCATCTTGTTGGCTCTTAGAACAGATTTGCTTATGGACAGTAAAGAGGGCTCAGTGACTTCCTGCCATGGGCCTCCCTTCCCGTTTGCCACCTGCGCACCTGGTTGCCCCGGACCTGTTCCAGTATTAGCAGTGTTACTGCTGTATTAGACCTAAGTGTTGCTGCAGTGGCTCACGGTCATGATTTTAGCCAGAGTCCCTACAGGAGGTGGCAACATTGCTGGGAAGTAACACCAGGCAAACTGAGACCCAGAGACACAACCTTGGGAGGGACTGCCCTGTCCTAGAGACCTGCGGGCAGTGAGGCTGTCCACCTCTGGGGAAGCAGGAGCCAGAACGCTGAGCACTCTCTGTCCACAGCACTTCCTGGCCATGTGCAACCTTCACTTGGAGCTGCCTTTCAGGGCTTGGCCAAGCTGTTCTTAGTGCCTCTCACCCCACAGTTGCCCTTAGGAAGGGGGACCTCTTGAGTGGCTGAATTTGTCCTGTCCACCCGCAGGCAGCCTCCTGTGGGAATCTGGAGGAATCCCCACAGTGGATCAGGAACTGTACGTGGTCTCTCCTGCCCTTGGCTTCTTTACAAAAGGGAAGTTTGGAATAGGCCACCTGAGGAGGCCCCAGGGCTTGTCCTCTCCCTTCCCACACACGGAGATGCCACAGGCCAGTGATGTGCCCCTCAGCTGGGGGCCAGCAGCCCGGGCAGGGGCCTGATGCCAGAGTGGCACAGTGACTCAGCAGCTGTCTTCTACCCCATCTCTGTGACATGGCAGGGGTTCCATCAGCCTGAGCTTTCCCCACACTGGCATGTCTCAAAAGACTTGCCTTGGCCCTAGCTAGAGCTCAGCACCCCACGTCTGGCTGGTACTTGCTGCTGCTCACAGGAGAAGCAAAAGCCATGTGCTTGGTGTGGCCAGGCCAGAGCTCTCAGGAGAAGGGGACCATGAAGGGGAGCGGCAGGGCATCTGCCACCCACGGTGACTCAGAAACAGGCAGGTGGCCCCATCCCTGTGCCTTAGGAGGAGTCACGGTGTGTGCTCGCGGTGTTGGAGAGTAGCGGGCATCTGAACAGGTCTGTGCCATGAGCCAGGTTCATGTGGAGAGGTAACCTGACCTGACTACGGCAGCCTACCTAGGAGGGTGGCCCCCGTACCAGTGGGCCCTGGCTTCCTAACTCCTTCCCTGGCTTTCAGTCAGTTCCAAGGCAGTTCCTCAGACGCCCTGGCCAAATTTCCACATGACGTCTGCCAGCGTGTGGGAGCACAGTGTGTATCTGGAGTGCGCTTGTAGGAGTGGATGGTTTCCTTGAAAACAGTCCCAGGAAGGGAAAGGAGCACTCCCTCGGGCCCCCAGGTAGTATCAGCCAAGGATCTGAGCCAACAGGATCCATCTGTTCAGCTGACCAGCTCACAGTGCCAGCTCAGAATAGCAGAGGTGGCCATGCCCGCTTGCAGGGCCCCACCAAGTGTCTGTTCTGTACACCAAAGATGACCATGCCCACCTTCCTCCTGGAGTCACAGTGACATGTCCCATCAGCTTGCGTGGAATCCACAGACATAGTCATCCCACGTCAGCCTTTCTCCTCAGGCTCCTTAGCATTCAGCAGCTTGTAGGGTGGTAAGGATCACGGGACGGTTAGCGCTCTTCACCATCTGGTCTAAATATCACATCACCATTCCCCTGACTCTCTGTCAAAGTTTTGCTATCCGTGCTCATTGACAATTCAGTATTTGTTGGAGTAGGCACACCCCTGACAGACCACAAGGTGTCACAGGCCTCTTTGTGCTTGTGGTAGAGTCCGGGTGACCCTTCTTCCCCCTCCCTCTGCCCAAAAGATTTCCCTGTTTATGTACATTGATCTAGAACCATCTGTCTGCTTCAGAAGAATATTTTCTTAGTGGTTTCTACTGACGGGAAAGTAGGGAGAAGAGCAGAGCTCAGTTGAGCATCCATTTAGGATGGGAGGCCAGTGCTGGTTTTGGTCAATCCAGAGCCGTGGGCACGAAGCAGGGTTCCTTGCAGGTCCTTGGCTGTTCCTAATCGAGGCCCAGGACTGGGTAGGGACTGCCCTGCCCCCTGCCTTCTCCGAGGTGGGAAGTCAGTGAGAGGGAGTGAGCCTTCCTCTGCTGTATGTAGAGTGAGCCAGTGGTGCTCAGGAGAACCTGGCCCCTTGCAGTTACTCTTATCTGACATTTTTTCTGCACACTGGTTTGCTACTCATGTCACAAAACAAATTTTGTTTTGAGCAAAGCTGTTGTTTTGGAAACTTGTTTCTTTTCCAGGTCAATTTTGTATTTTGTTTTAAAGAATTATTCGTCTCCATGGGTGTTGTGGTGGCGCGTAGAGTAAGAGAGGTGGATCTGTAATTTCCTCTGCTGGGAAACTGGCACATGCTGTGCCCCTCGTACCCACCCGCCCAGCCCACCCCGTCCCAGCACTCCTCACCCCCAAGCTGCGGTTATCGTGTACTGGGCCGACCCTCCACTTCAGCCCTGCCCTTAGTGACTCCTTCTGGACCCAGTCTTTGAAATCCCCAAAACGACTGGCTCCTGGGGCATTGGGCCCCTGACTGTCGACTCACCTTGGGGCCTTCGGTAATGTGGTTCTCAGATCTGTTAACCTCTGGCGTGTTTGGAAATGGTTTCTGTAGTCACCTTTGGCAATCAGTGGTCACCGATACGTGTCCCTAGTTTTCTGAATTGTAGTCTTTGGTGTTTCTGTGGTTGAAGATCCCTGAATGAAAAGAATCCTCCCTGTGAGACTTTGCTGTTACAACATTTTCTGCATTTACTGTTATTAAAATGATTAATGAGAACACAGGAGTTTTGGCCTTGTTTCCCACAACCTCGCGGAAGGCCCTTTGCTTTGAACAGGAGATGAGAGGAGCTGTGTATGCTCCGCACCATGAAGACCACTGAAGGGCAGCTGGCTCTCAGCATAGCTTTGCCCCGAGACACCAGTGACGGGGCATGGGGCCCTGATCTCCCCCACACTGCCTGGTTCCACCAGAGCTGACTGCTGCTCTTGGCTGTGGTGGGTCAGGCTGTATGAGCTGGAAATAACTCTGGTCAGACCCTCATCACAAGATTCCTGAGGCCAGATCTGTGGTGCCTTAGGACAGACTGTCTCATAATGGGGAGGGGGTGGCAGATAACTCGGCCCTTTGTGAACACTTGGACCTGTGTGCCAAGGTGACAAACTGAGCAGCCCCTGGGCACTGTCTATCCTGGCCACCTTCACTCAGCCTTTTGCCAGAACTGCTGCTTCTAGAAGGATTGTGGCTAGCCAAACTGACCCCTCCTTAGCCAGTAGCTGGGCACCCAGACTATGCATGAAGCCAGGGCCTGCTATCCTCAGCTACATAACCAGCAACTTGGGGTGGTTCTCTGGTTGCCCCAAGTTCTCCCTCTGCAAAGCGCTGGCCACAGCTGTGTGCCAGGTACTGTGCTAAATCTACCCACACACATTTTGTGATCCCCACAGAGGCAGGCCAGCTGACCGGTATGGTAGTCCCTGTTTGACAGGAAGAAGCAGAGAAATAAGGCTCACAGCTAATCATTTGAGGAATTGGGATGTGAACCCAGATTCCTTCAGCTCCAGAGCACATGTGCTTTGCATTGGTCTCTGACTTCTGGCACCTGTCTGGGGTGCTGGGTTACTGGGCAGACTCTTGAAACAAGGGGAGGGAAGGGCAACGTTGTGGAAGGCTGGAGAGAAAGGTGAGGCCCAGGACTACACGAAAGCAGAGGAGTCAAGCCCATCTTTTCTTCGGCCTTTGAACCTCCGAGCAGAGCTGACAGGCTCAGGAGTAAAGGGGGCGAGGCCACAGGCCCAGCGAGAGCTGCTGTGGGGGGATAGACAGAAAGAAGCTTCTGGCAGGAGGGGAGGAAAGTTGATCCCAGGCCGTTCCACGTGACTTCCTTTTCAGAAAGGACCAAGCAACAGTGAGCTAGGGCTTGGCGTGCCCCAGCCTAGAGTATCTGCCCCGACCTATGCCTGGCTCTGCCCTCTACCCCCTACTGCATGCAGCAGTCTTCATCAAGTGCAAGTCCTACTGTGTTCACTTCGCTGAGTTGTGTAAACATCTAGGCTCATCAAACCCTCACACCCGACGTCTGCACAGACTCTGCAGCAGCCATGTTGTATTCCACTTTTTCCTGCCACGTCAGTGTCCCTCCCTTTGCCTTTATCTTAGTGCTGTTTTCCCAGCTCCCTACTTTCCCTCATCATCTGAAGGGTCAATTTCAATAAGAGTCTTGTGATCTGCATTCCCCTGAGGTACCTGTCACTTGGCCGCTCATCTACAGGGCTCATGTGCCTCAGGGCTGCCATTTGCCCCTCTTACGTCATTCATTGTGACTCTCCCTTCCTCCTTGAACTCCAACTCCTTGGGAGTGGGGGTGGATCCACCCTCCAGCCTTTGGTTAGTGTTCTGTGAATAATGATTTCACCCTCCAAAGCAGTGGGTGGCACCCGTTACCCGAGGGCCAAATGTGGCCAAGTCAGCTATTGTCCATCCCATGAATTCTTTGAGTGTCCAGGAACTTTAAGTTCCCTCCAGCCTGTGGCTTTCCTTATTTAGGGGTTCATCCTGCTTCTCTGCAGGACTCTTTATAGTTGGGATCCTGGATGAGGATTCAGTGTTGTGAGCAAAGGGAACTGAGATCCACAGTTTCTATTCCACCTGACCCTTCTCTGGACCTCTCTGCAGGGATGGGCAAAGCAACCAACTGTTTTTGCATATCAATGGTAGCTGGTCATCCCCAACGTGTCACCCTTCCATTCAAGGTCACATACTCAGAGTTGGTGTTTACATGGCAAAAGCCTAACCCATCCGTGGAATGTGACACCTGTCCCCTGGAGGGGTAGTGAGTCCCAGCGCGGCATCAGTAGGGAGCAGCTTGGGATGGTAGACCAGATCCCTGATGACCTCTGGTCTTGGCCTGGTTTGCCAAGGCCAGTGAAGGAACAGAGATACACAGATGTCAGTCTGACATATGTAATGGCTTATTAAAAGGATTTGCGGTTTGCTAACCTTGGCAACAGGCAAACTGACCTAATCCAGTGTCAAGGACTCTGTTCCTGCCTGTACCTGCTCCTTACTCAGTCAGCATTTGCTTAGCATCCTCAGTGCACATTCAGGATGTTTGAATTGCTGGGCAAAAGGGTTTGGGCCTCTCCCAGGGAGGCAGGAGGGACAGCTGTTCCTGTTGCTAATTGATGACCCAGAGGACTTTGCCCTTCATAGCTGGCCTCTGACTTCCCTGTGGCTCTTGCATCTCAGTCACACACTCACAGCAAGGCAGGTGTCAGCTTCGGTAACAGTGGGTGACAGGGCCACTAGCACGGGCCACATAGCGTGCTCCTGTCCAGCCGCTCATGCCCAGCCCCCTCTTCTCCCTGGTCGCATGTGTTTCCCCCACTTCGTCCGAGGGCCCCCCAGCCCTGCCTGCTCCTTCCCTACTTCCAGGGGTCCTACCCCCATGTCATTGCATTTTTAGAAAGAACCTCCGCTCTGCACTATTCTCCCTAAGGATGTAGGGGCCTTTCTGCACGCTCCAGAAAATAGGCTCAGAGTTCTGGAATGTTGGAGTGAACAAAATACTGCTAAAACAGCAGTTCATAAATTTTGCTGTATTTGAGAATCACCTGGGGAGCTGAAAAAAAAAAATATCAATGCCCAGACTTCACCCAAGCTCATAATTCAAAACAAACTTACTTTGTTTTTACTTTAATGGTCTGGGTTCTGAGTCTGCAACAGGGTGGTCCTCAGGGTTAAGGGAGCTTTCCCACCAAGGGAGGGTGGAGCTGAGCAGGGAGAAGAAGCTGGAGAGAGAACCCACGGAAAAGGGTCAGAAGCAGTCAGACAAGTCTGGGCCTTTCCTATGGGGTCCACCCTGTTACAAGTCACCCCTTTGACCTGTCTACACCGGTGCCTTTTAAAAATAACACTGTAAAGACATACCGAAAGGTATGAAGAATAATATCTAATCCAGCTTAAGAAAACAAACGCTACCAATACAATCAGAGCTCCCTTATGCCAGAAAGTTGGAAATTGTTCCTCAGAGATTCATGAGGTCTGGGAACATGCCTTAGGGGCCTCCTGGGGTGAGAGATGGGGGAGCAAAGTGGGGGGAACTGGCCTTTCCATTTGTTTTACCCAGAACAATTCCACTTTGATTCAGTTTTGTACATTATGGTCCTGTAAATAATTTCATTGGGAAAAGGTGTAAAATCCACTTATTTCCAGCCCCCTTGCTTTGTTTCGCTCTCTCCAAATCGTGAACTTGCTGCAGTTGCGGAGAAAGCCTTGGGGGTCAGACCCAGCAGATGATCTGCTGTCCCACTTTCTGTCCCCTCTCTAGGTCCCAGGTACCCTTGGCAAGGTCACACCACTCAGCTCTCCAGGGCAGCTGTGAAGAGACACCCAGTGAGAGGGTCTTAGAAACTCTCAGTCCAGCTACCCCAAGGGGTCCCCGCTCCCAGACTGTGGTTGCTATGCATGTTCTCAGAGCATAAAGGTCCATTAACACACTCACTCATTCTGTCTTAACGTGCCCTGTAA